AGCTTGGTAGAAGTTACTCTGAGGACACCAGCCACTGGCTTTTCAGCGTTAGCCAGAGACTTGTTTTCAAAAGATCTCCCTGAACCCATCATTTTCTATCCCTTGGTTTTCCATTCTGTGACATCTCCCATTACCCTCATGGGGACACTATCATGCATCAAAAAGCAAGAACTAGGGAATTTCCCGGTTAGGACTCCACACTTTCACTACGGAGGGCCTGGGTCTGATCCCCAGTCAGAGAACTAGGATCCCTGCTATCCTAGCTGCGCGATGTAGCCAAAAAATCTAGAACTGAGGAACTACAATTAAGAAAAAGGCTGCTTTCCAAGTTGTTTTTATGTGTGTACGTGTATGTGTGAGGCGGGTGGGGGGGAGTGGAGATGGAAACCATAGTCAGGCATCTACATTGCCAACTGTTATTTTGCTTCCCAAGTTTTCTTGGTTCTTGAGTTCTTCAGGTGGTTGATGGTCTCAGAGCATACTACCACAGGAAGAATTCTCAGGACAGCAACACCAATAAATCAAGGTCCTGCTGGTCTCAGACACCCTCCCCAGAAGCCTAATATTAGAATGAGAAGAGACAGTTAACACTTTGCTTATCGGACAATCTGGCCTCCCCACACAAAGTCATATGCCAACAGAATATTAGATCTCAGAATCAGACTTTGAAAGTCAAATATTCCTGCTCATATTACCATTCTCAAGTCTCAATCACTTATACCCCTGCCATGGTGGGCTTAAACACAGAAACTGCTGTTTGGATCTTGCATGGGGAAGGAAAAAAACTGTCAATCCAATAAAATGAATAGACTACTGGAATAACTTGCATGCCAAATTCTGTTCTTACTGCTGAAATTTAGACAGTTTAAAAGAATACCTGGAACGACCTCTAAGTAACTTCCACATCACTCAGCACAGGAGAAAGGGGACCAAACATTAGTGAAGTAAGGGAGAAATCGGCTCTCAGAGGGACTTTGCATCAGACCACAAGGCACCGAGGCAGCCACCGGCCACTGTTCTCCAATCTCTTAAAGGCCTAGAGAAAGAAGTAAAGGCAAGTGCCTAGTAGGCAGATTTTGAAAACTTTAAAACTATCTTCAATGATTAAACCAATCCCTGATTGGTTGGAATGTACAATAAGCCTGGGCTTTAAGCCAATCAGAGTTCTGGTCGTTGGGAATGAACTAGACAGTAGAGCAACTGCCACTCACTTAGGCCAACATTTTATTAAAACTGCTCAATTTACCTGGCTTCAGCTAATATGTGGATCGGAATTAAAGCAGCAGAGAACAGAGACATCCTTCCTCTAAACTCTACCTTTGCTCCCGCTTTGATTAATTAATAATTTTGCCACTTGTTAGTATCAGGGCTCAATCAACTATTTGCTTGTATTCAGGATTCTGTATTCCTAGGCTTAGCCCTTCCTTAACCATGACTTATTTGTCCCATGTACCATTTCTCCATGGGACACACGAGTATACCACACATACTGCTGAGAGTAGAGTTTCTCTCTGATTGGGGCTCAAGGTCAAAGACAATTCCCATTCACCTTGCAGGCTTTGTCTAGTTGCCTGCCCTGGAACTTCAAGAGAAAGTTTAGGGGGACAAAAACCTAAAAATTTGAAACAAAGTGGGGAAGAAGGGGGAGAGGCATCCCCACAAGCTCCACAGTTAAGGCCACAAACTCCAAAAAGACCCCAAGGAGCTGCATTGAATAGCAACTCCTGGATACGGATTCAGGGTTCAGTGCTTCCCACCACCAATATGCAGAGAGAAGGAAAAGGCAAAATTTCAAGAGTTTAGTTTACAATACTGAGGTACTAAGAAAGGGCCTCATAATGATTGTTCTTGCTTATCTCCATCAGGAAAACAGATACTGAGATGATCAGCCCAAGGAATCAGGTTAGGATACCCTGCTCCCTGGTGGCTCAAGTGGTGAAGAATCTGCCTGCCAACGAAGGATCACTGGGTCGGGAAGATCCCCTGAAGGAGGAAATGGCAACCCACTCCAGTATTCTTGCCTGGAACATCTCATGGACAGAGGAGCCTGGCGGGTGACAGCCCATGGGGTTGCAAAGAGTCTGACACATCTGAGCGCGCACGTATGTCCGGCTCCTCAGTCAATGGCTCTTGTAGGGTCTTCCAGATCTCACTGCTCGGCCATATCCCCAAGGGATATGCTGAGACACACAAGCGCTTCTTCTATTGATAAGCAACTTGAAATCCTTCGATTTTACCATAATAAAGACTACCTACAGTGACCAAACTGCTCCCCAATCTGGGAAATTCGAGCAGACAGCCTTCACTCAAGATAGGCATTCATAGATCAGGTAAAAAAATCAGCAACTTCTCAGGAAAATGAGAAGACTTTAAATTAGCTGAAATAAACAACCTCAGAAATTAAGTCCTCTTAATTGCTTGGATTCCCAAGCAGCTTTACCTGTTCTGGTGGGCAAAGAGAAATAATAATCCTCACATTCAGAAGCCCGATCTATTCTGGACTGCCAACTAACACACCTTTTATTCCAGCCTTTCAGCTATGACGGAAAAAAGAATTTTGTTCAGAGGGACAGGCAAAAAAAATTGAAATCCATTTCTTTCTCTCTATAGACTCTAAAGCTAAGGAAATAAAACATGCAGCCATTTATTTTTTTTTTAACATGCAGCCATTTAAAATGCTACAACCATGAGGTCGAACATCTTGAAAGCTCCGCACTCTGCCCACTATGGGACTATGATAATCCAGAAGCAAGCTGCCCTTGGGCCACAATACAAGGAAGAACTCCTTGCTGGACTTTACAAAAACAACCCAAGAGACCCATCAACGATCCTGTCCCCAAGTGAACTGGGACTACAACTGTAACAAGAGACAACACAAACTTGGCCAAATAACTAACCAAGTCAGGTAGTAAAGGGCATTTGTAAGAGACATACCTATCCCTGCCCTCTGCTGTGGCTACACATGAGGACTCCAGAATACGTGAAAAATGTGAAACCATCTTCCTCCAAAACCTCCAAGTCACCACTCCATTTTCAGCATTGGAAATCTACACATAAACAATGCTTTTCCCTACTAACAGAGTCCAGTATTTACCCTCTAAAGGATGTCTTACAAGACAGAAAGTGAAACTGTGATATTTTTGCTTACTTCATTATATTTTCCTTTTGACTTTTTTTTATGTGATACACAATAAACATTTATATTTTATTATGTTTTAAAACGATCTATATGTTTAACATACAAGTCTATTTCATAAGAATGCTTTTTTTTTCTTAGTGATAACTAAAAAAACCATGTATTTTACACTCAATGAAATCTTGAACTCCATGAAATAAGGCAGTTAAGATAAGTTAACACCTTTCCTTATTCTGTTAACTGCTAGCAAATATCATGTTTTTTGTATGTGTGATGTGGGGTTTCCAGGTGGTGCAGTGGTAAAGAATCTGCCTGCTAAGACAGGAGATGCAGGTTCGATCCCTGGGTCGGGAAGACTGCTTGGAGAAAATGGCAACCCACTCCAGTATTCCTGCCTGGAAAATTCCATGGACAGAGGAGCCTGGCAGGCTATAGTCCGTGGCGTCAGACTGAGCAGGCAGGTGATAGCACATGGTCACATCACAGCATTACCTGTTTTACATTTTCTTATGATAGAATATCCTCTAAGGCTGAAATTTTAAAGATTTGCTTTACATAGGGCTTTGACATGAAATTCAAATTAGGGACAGTGCCCACCCCCACATCAGAAATTTATACTGAATTCATTTAAAATTACATATAGCCCATCCCAGGGACCTACTAACCTGCAAACTACGTTCTGTCAAGGTTCTCAGCTCCCAAGTCAGGAACTTGAGACAACTGGCTGCAGTAACTACCCTTAAGCTAGTTAACTATTCATTCTGCCTCCTTGAGTACTTCTTAATGTTTCAAATCTGGATAGTTAAAAAGAAAAAAAAAAATCTCGGAATCCTGATTTCAGATCTCATGAACTAACCACCACCTCAAACCACCCAGACTGAAGTCAGAATGGCCTTGGTATAAAGATACAAAATATGTGGGAAAGAGACTGTGGGAACTGTAGTCAATTAACTCGAGGTTGATAAGACAGGGCTCCAAACTTCCAGAAGCTTTTTGTTAATTCTGCTCCATATTTAGGACAAGAATGACTACCCACAACTGTGTTCCAGCCCCACTTCCAATAACCTGCCTTAGCTGTAGCCAAAATCCAGAGTGTTCTCGAAAACCACTCACTCAGCAGCTCCCTTGGCTGGTCCGGACTGGCAATCTCGAGGCACTGCGGCTGCCCAGCAGCGCCAACAGCCCAAGCAGCTGCCCTCTTCCTTGCTGCTTAACTTAATAAACAGCCCTGGGAAGAATGAGGATCTTCGGAAGGGTGGAGGGAGAGGGTTTGACGTGTACAGCATGAGACAAAACCCCTCACCGTTCTTTCTCTATCACCTTCCACTTCTGGGGTAACCGAAGGACCACCAGGTCAATCATAGAGACAGACACAGTCACCTCGGGCCCAACTAGTGCTCGCTGGGGTACGATTACGGAGGCAAGGGGGATGAGGACAGCAAAAGCTCTGGAGATGCAAAGGGTTGATAGACAACAAGGTACAGAAATTAACAAGAGAAGGAGGGGATCGGGGGCAGTGTAAGAAGGCATCATTATCGCCGTGCCGCCTCCTCCACCCCGCAAAAGACCTCCAAGATCCCCTCAGAGACCTGGCCTCTACAACGAGAACGACCTTCCTCTCTGCTTGGGGTACAAGGCCATACCTCAGCTCCTCAGCAAAGCGGAAGCGGGAGAGGAGGGCAAGCCTCCAAGAGCGCCCCTTCAGGGGGTCCATCCGGACTCTATCTCAGATTGGTGGTGGGGGGGGGGGGGGTTCTCGGAGGGCGGGGCATAGCCTCTACAGGGGTTGCACCACAGCAAGGACGGGATTCCCGGAGCCATGGAGCTGAAGTTCGCCCCTTCCCCTACCCTGCCACCCAGTTACCTCTTCGCCTCCTCATCGTCTAGCAGCTCTGGCTCGGTCGCCGCCATTACCACATCGCACTCCGCGGCAGCCGCCATCTTACCGCCGGGACCAGAGAGCCGGGTGGGAGGTCGGCGGTGAAGAGCACTTCCGGTCGGAGCATCGAGCAGCTCAGCGGCGCTGCGCCCAGAGGGGCTCCCTCGGGCCCGTCTACCAGCGAGAGGCTCCGCTTCGGGCCAGAGCGGCCTCCCGCCCCCGGAGGTCCAGGGTGGTCTCCGTGCCGGGGCGGGGGCCCAAGCACGGTTCCTGTGCGTAGGGGGCGCCACTTTACCCGTGGGGCCGACGAGGGTATAAGAGGGTGTCGCCTCTCTAGGCTTCGGCTTTCCTCAGTATTCTGATAGCTTCGTTGCCATAACAACTTCCAATCCTAGAGCGTCTCCGGTGATGCTCCGGGAGTCTGAGCTGGGTAGGGACGCGGTGACCCAGGACCCTGGAGATAAAGAGCGCCCCCCCTACTAATACCTTCCCGACCTTTGAGTATGTCCACAGCCTCCTCCTGCGAAAGGCAAGAGAGACACTTTGAATCCAGTTTTCCTAGTGTTCATCGGCCCCTGGAAGCCCTGCCCAACCAAGCCAGGGGAACGCAGGGCGTCTTCACACCGCGCCTTTCATCCCCTCTGGATCTCCAAGTACCAACTGGTTCATCACCCTAATGACGCTGACCCTTTTATGAGGCTGCTTTCATGTCAGCCGCCTGGGAGTGCCATCTCAGCATTAAGCCTAGGGAGGGTGGCACAGGGCCCCAGACCCTGCCCTGGAGTTTATAAGGCAGCTCGCAGGGTGAGGTCCCTGCTCCACAGTGTCCCCAGTGCTCCCAACCCTCATATAAACTCCCTGCTCAGCACGCTTGTTTTGCCGAATGTAATCTGGATTGGGAACTCAGATAGGGCAAGGACACAGCTTAATTTTCGTAGCCCTTCATCCAGACCAATTTTTGTGGACCTGACTTAAATTGGGGTTTCCTGACGTTAAACTAAAGGGGGGGGGGGGAGAGGTTGATGTTAAAATATTAAAGTTAACGGTTACCAAAGAAGGGGTCAAGGGAATTTAAGAAGAATTTATCCCCCTTTTCCAGTAAAAGTCACTGCTATTGTCCATGAGCTGCTTGCACAGTCCCTGCCTACCACAGTGCTGAGGGAGCTGAAACCACACCTGTCACTGGGTAGCGGAGGATGGGAGAGGCTCCACTGGGGTTGGAAGAGACAAGTCATTCCTCCAGCCAGTCATTCAACAACTCACTGCAAAGTTAGGTTGGGAAGGCACAGACTCAGGCCCTGCTTGCCAATGGCTTATGGTCTACAGTCTAATGCAGGAGGCCCACCTGTCCTTAACCACCTTCCTACTTTGTGTTATCTGCATCTTAAACTCTCAATTTAGAGAATGGATACATGCATATGTATAACTGTGTCGCTTTGCTGTGTACCTGAAACCATTACAGCATTTGTTAATTGACTATACTCCAATATAAAAAAACTCCCAATTTATCACCAAGTCTTGTTGATTCTCTCATCAAATGTCTCTCAAATCTACCTCCTTTCCACCCCAATTCAGATTCTTATCACTTTATGGAAATCTTGGAATACTACCCTACTCTCCTAACTAACCCCAAGTCTCACCTCTCTCCAATCTTCACTCTTTACCAGAGTGACCTTCTTAAAAGCAAAAACTGGTCGTGTCACTTCACTGGCATAAATCCTATCAGTGGCTTTCCACTGCTGTTAGGATAGAGTTTGAACTCTTTGGCCAAACACACAGGTCTTAGATTGTTTGGCTCCTTTCTACTATCAATACTGAACCCAAATATGTGTAGTTCCAGTAAATGCCATGGGTGTTGCCATATTTTCTTCACCCTTTCCTTCCACCCCCTTCAAACCTCAACACAGACCTGACCTCCTCCAGGAAGATTCCATGGATAACATGATGCCCACTGTCCCCAAGTTAAACACCCCTGGGCCGTGCTTTACAGCACCTCTGTAATAGATCTTACATGCTAGACTGTCATTGGGTTAGATGTCTAGCTCATCTAGATGGTGACATTCTAATGGGCCACAACCAGGTATAATTCGCCAGCCTTTTCTCAGCACGTAGTCCTGCGACTGGCACAGAGTATACGCTCAGAACACATTGGATGAATAAACGACTGAATAAACGAAGTGTTACTGTAGTAGCCTTTAGATAAAGAACATTTGGGCATTTGAGACACCAAAACAGCACCCGGCGCGTCCCGCCAGCTTATATATAACCTGTGCCCTGGCGACCACCTAGCCTAGGTGCAGACCGTCATTTCCCCGCCGGCCTCTGAGGGCGCTGTGTCGCCGGCGCCCGCTCTCCGCCGCCGGAATTGGTCTTGCCGGATGGAAGCTGCAGGGGCGGGACCAGACGGAGTCGGGACCGACGCAGAGGAAGATCCGAGTGTTTGCCGTGGTGCTGCCCCACCCCTGGTCACCGGGAACCTGGAGGGGCCCGGCTGCTGCGAGGAAGCTAGGAGGTACGGGACTGGGAGGCCGGGGTCGACCACCGCTTTGGGGACGCTTTAGGTGGCAGGATTCTATTCCCTCTGGGAGCCCCCTGGTGGGGAGAATGTGCAGGAGGCTCCTGTGGCAGTCTCTCTTGGGGTACCCCTTAATTGCGGGGCTCGTGGGAAGAGGGGATCTGTACTGGGAGTTACCTCTGGAGAAGTTTCTGTGTGAGATACCTTGGGGAAGTTATCTTTACCTGTCCTCTCTGGGGGAATCTTTGTCTAGGACTTCTGGGAAACCTGTGTTTAGGGTGCCTTGAGATCTCTTGGGGTGTCTTGAGATTTCTGTGTCTAAGCCTTATCTGGGTGTGTCCAAGGGCAGCAAAATCTTTCTCCTTTCCAAAGCATTGTTTTCTTAGATTCCGTCCCTCCTTTGTCTCTTGTCTGATGTTCTTCATCCTAGCCATGGCCTTGACTGGGAATTAGAGGGAACGGATTGTCCAGATCAGCCTTTCTGGAAAGCAGAATGTTCTTCTTAATTGTTCACTCCCCAAGAAGAGTGATGTAAGATAGATCCACACAAAATAATATCTCTGGTTATTTCTCTGCGGGATCATGGTTAAAGAGAGGGAGCTTGAGTCAGAGCTCCCTTCAGCAACTGGTCCTTGACATCCTGTCCATCCTGTGCACAGAAAAGATCCTGGATAGTGGTTCCTTTAAGCCAGCTACGTGGCAGCTCTTCCCGCGTCGTGGCAACATTGACTGAGCACTTGCTCTGTGCCACTTACTGACCACTTACTGGGAATAGAAGTACGATACAGCTCACTGCCCAGTAGCAGACACAGACACGTCACAGACACTGTAGTGGACACAGTACACACCCTTCCGAGGGTAGCGGACAGTGCCGACTCCTCAAGGCTGTGTGTTCGGTTCAGAACTTGGGCTCTCGATTAAGGGAAGGCCCTGTGTCTTCATCCTGCCTCACCCAGCATGCTTCCATTCTTCAGGGTTGAAAGCTAAGCATGGGGAAGAGCTGCAAGGTGGTCGTGTGTGGCCAGGCGTCTGTGGGCAAGACTTCAATCCTGGAGCAGCTTCTGTACGGAAACCATGTAGTGGGTGAGTTGCTGGGGATGGGCTGTGGTGGAGGAAGTGGAAGTATGAAGAGAAGATTTGATCACAACACGAAGAGGCTAAAAGTTGCTCCTGGTGGTGCTCCTGGGATCTGAAAGATCCCAACCCTGCCATACAGAAGAAATCTGGAAAGAGGAAACCCAATATCAGAGAAAGATAGGAAGGAAAAGCTTGCAAGTCATGCTGTGCTTAGCATGGTATCAGCATAAGATTAACTCTGTTCCCCAAATCATTCCAGTCCAGCCAGGTTTGAAGTCTGACCCCACATTCCTTTCTCCCCCTGTCTGGTTGGCCTGTTAGGATGTACTCAGTCACGTAGGTTCCCAATCTTTTTTCTCCCTAGAAACAAGCTCTTTTTTTTTTTTCTTTAAGCTGTGCTGGGTCTTCTTTGCTGCACGGGATTTTCTCTAGTTGCGGTGAAGGCAGGAGAGGGCTACTGTGTATTGCAGTGCATGGGCTTGTCATTGCAGTGGCCTCTCTTGTTACGGAGCACGGGTGCCAGGGTACATGGGCTTCAGTAGTTGCGGTTCCCGGGCTCTAGAGCACAGGCTCAGGAATTGTGGAGCAGGGGCTTGGTTGCTCCAAGGCACTCGGGCTCTTCCCGGATCAGGGATTGAACCCAAATTTCCTGCATTGGCAGGTGGATTCTTTACCACTGAGCCAGCAGCGAAGCCCAGAAACAAGTTTTCTCCTCATTTTGTCCCAGGTTCTGAGATGATCGAGACGCAGGAGGACATCTACGTGGGCTCCATTGAGACTGACCGGGGGGTCCGGGAGCAGGTGCGTTTCTACGACACCCGGGGGCTCCGAGACGGGGCCGAGTTGCCCCGGCACTGCTTCTCCTGCACTGACGGATATGTCCTCGTCTACAGCACGGACAGCCGGGAGTCCTTTCAGCGCGTGGAGCTGCTCAAGAAGGAGATTGACAAATCCAAGGACAAGAAGGAGGTGTGTGGGGGAACCCCGGTAGTAAGAGACTGTAGACCCTTGGCTGGCTTTGGGAGGCCTGGAATGGCTCTGTCTTTCACTCATTTGCCAGAAACTAGGTTTGAAACTGGAGGGCGAGGATGGAGACCACTGCTGGGGGTCTTCACCACTAGAGGTGCCCACCTGCTGAGACAGCTCAGCCAAAGAAGCTGCTCGAGTTTAGGAGGTCCCTGCCCTAACACATGATGTCCCCACTAGTCTTTTTTGATAGTGGTTATGTGTTCAGCTGTGAAGGCCCTTTTGTTCTCAATCAGGCATTCTGGGAGTGCTTCCTCACCAGCTAACTTAGCCGGCAACTAACTGACTCCCAGTAATGATCAGGCGTGAATGACACAGGGCTTGTAACAGAACTCCTGGAGGGGGTGCCAGATGGAGGCCCCACCCACAATTTCTAATGTAGGAAGAGATGAGACCTCAGCGGCTGAGACTTCTTCCCCTCCCCTAGGACTCCGAGGTGGAAGTAGTTGTTTTTTCCTCTCCTCCCTCTGTTCAAGTTCTGGCTTCCATCTGGCACCCGCTCTGGGAGTTCCATGACAAGCCTGAGGTGGTCACTGGCCCTCATCCCTACCCCCAGGGTCCATCTACAGCCAAGGCCTCTCCTGTGCTCCTCTTCCCCAGGTCACCATTGTGGTCCTCGGCAACAAGTGTGACCTGCAGGAGCAGCGGCGAGTAGACCCGGATGTGGCTCAGCACTGGGCGAAGGCGGAGAAGGTGAAGCTGTGGGAGGTGTCAGTGGCTGACCGCCGCTCACTGCTGGAGCCCTTCGTCTACCTGGCCAGCAAGATGACCCAGCCCCAGAGCAAGTCTGCCTTCCCCCTCAGCCGCAAGAACAAGGGCAGCGGCTCCTTGGATGGCTGAAGAGGTGCCTTCCCAGCCCTGGAAGATGGGTTGGGGGGAAAGGGGGGTTTGGGTGAGCTTTCCTTCCCAGCGAGGTGGGGAGCTCACCGCTAGGCCAGGCAGCTGGGCTGTCCCGGGCTCAGGTCGCTTTTGCTCCCTCCCAGCTCCGGGAATTGCTGATAGTTTAGGTTAGCACCCCCAACCCCCCCAGGCCCCCATCATATCTGCCCTGCGGTGACTGGGGTAGTTGTGGGTCACTATCCCTTTTACCTGCCAGGAGAGGAAGCAGAGCTATGCAGAAGTGCCGCATCTAGGGTCTGGTTCCTATCACAGGGACCTCCCACTTCTGGTTTCCTGCCAGTATCTATTCTCTCTCTCTTACGCACACACACCCCCTGTTCAGGAAGCCTCTACATACACACACACACACACCCACCCACACACACGCACACACACGGCATCAGCCTGGACTCTAGAGAAAGGGCATCCAGACATCTGTGTGGAGATATGCACGTGTGTGTGCTGATGTTTGGGTCACACACACACACTCACACACACTTATGGCACCAGCCTGGACCCTAGAGAAAGAGTGTCCACGTATCTGTGTGTAGATGTGCACGTGTGCATGCTGGTGTTTAGGACACACACACGTATACTCACTCTCATGGCACCAGCCTGGACTCTAGAGAAAGGGTGTGTGTGCACGTGTGTGCGTGCTGGTGTTCCGGGCACCTCCTCATCCAACAGCCCAGCCTCTCTCCTGTCCTCTCCTTGGCTGGAAGAAGCTAGCCTCCTGGGAGTGTCCTTTTCTGCTGTAACTCTTCCCCCGTCTTCCTCTTCCTGCTCAGGGAGCCTGTCACTGGGTGAGGTGGAATGGAACGCAGCTGGGCTGGGAGTCACCAGCTGGCTTTGCGGGCCTGCAAGCCCCTTCCCTTCTCTGGGCTTCGCTTTTCTCATCTGAAAGATGATCTCGATTCTATCCTCTCTAGCCCTGTGGTTGGATACTGCCCACAACTGCGACTGTCCCCTCAGCTGCTCCCTTTTCAAGGTGCTATGCCCACAGCCCCGGAGGCTGGGACACTGCTCCCCCCGACCACCAGGGGGCAGGAGCGCGCTACTCGCTCTAGTTGCCAGAGCGGCCGCCCAGGGCCTGATCAGCGGGCTGCCCAGGCCTGGGGACCGGTCTTTCCCGTTCCTGTGGTGGTTTTCAGCTGATCGCTGGACTTCTATTTATCAATTTCCTGTGTTTATATGCCTGCTGCCACGGTGGAGGCTGGGCAAGGTGCTCCTCTAGCGCTCCCTTCTTACCTCAGATGCCTGAGCAGAACAAGGCCAGGCAGGAGCAGCTTCTCAGGAGCTGCCAGACCTGTCGGGGCTCAGAAGGGTGTCACACTTCCGGCACGTGGTCAGGTGCGCTTGTAACCTGCAACCTCCCGTGCTCACCTGCTTCTGATGCACACACCTAGCACAGGTGAGACACTACAGCCAGATGACCTCCAATACACGCCCCTTCTCCCCAGGACGGGAGAGGAGAGCAGGGGCAGGCGGCCCAGCCGGGCGAGTGGAGTTTTAGGGCGTATACAGGCTTGAGCTTAAATTCATTTATTAATGTGTTGGAACAATAAAACCACAACTGTTATCAAAAAGTTTCCCTCCCCTCCCCCTTTTTATTCTTGTACCCCCATTGGAAATAGCTTTTAAAAAAAAAAAAAGGTAACAGGCAGATACTGGCAAAGTCCCATATCGTGGGGTGGGGGGTGGCAGTGCTGGGGTGGGAGGCGGGTGGTGGCAGTAATCTTGACAGCAGGAAAATGGGTCTTGAGAGTGGATCCCAACACTCGGGTTCACGGTGAGGGGGGCTTGGGCTGCTGGTCTGGGGAGAAAGCTGAATTGAGTGCTGGGGGCCAGTTTGAAGTGAGGAACTGGAGGGGAGCCCTGGGGGTGGATTTGGTGTCGGGGGGCCCATAGTCTGAGGGAGACCCAGTGTCACCCCACTTCCCCCTCGAGAGCTGGGGTTCAGGAAGACAATCTGGTCATTTCCTCTATTACAGACGGCCCAGCCAAAACATCACCATCACCATTACCTCATCCTGTCAGCAGGTGAAAACCCCAGAAGCTTGCGGCTCCAGCCGCCCCTTGGCTTTGCCCCACTTGGTGCTGCTCCCTCTCTCCTCCACGGTCCTCCACCACACCCTTGTCCAGGCACCCACTTCTGCTGGAGACCCCCTCCATCATCGCCAGTGATTCTCTGGGGAATCCAGTGAATGGGGAAGACCACCCCCACCCCACCCCCTGCAGGGCATGGGAATAGAGGTCACAGTCTTGTCCTCAGGCTAGGAGAAAGTCAGATTCCTTGGGCCTCTGGCCACATGGCTATAGGTCTTGAGTTGGGGGGAATGAGAGCACCATGGGGCTGGGGCTAGGATTATTGCATAGATCTTTGGATTTTTGGGTTTGCTCCCCATAAGTCAGGATGGGAAATGGAGGGGAGATCAGGACTAGCCCTAGGCACCAGAGGCAGGGAGGGTGCAGATGGATGGTCTGTGGGCCAGGGTGGCATTAGTTGAGTCCCCAGTGCAGACTGAGGGCTGGGCAGAGCAGCTCTTAGCATTAGCCCAGCTCTTCCTAGATTGGGCAAGACCCCCGAGGCTGTACAAGGCATTCTCCTGAGGGATGGAGGGAACTGAGGCATCTCAGGGAGAGGGATCAGGGCCGGTGGTAGGCAGGGGCGACTACTGGGAGGGCTAATAGGGGGCAAAGACGATGGGTCCCGTGGCAGGGCGAACGGCTCCCGCTGGGGTGCGAAACAGAGCCGGACCCAGGATCGGAGCTGGGAAGAGGGTGGTGGCCGCTGTGGGGGCAGGCCGGAGGGCCAGGGGCCCTGGCAGGGCACAGATGGCTGCCGCCGCGGTGGGCAGCGGGCTGGGCAGGAAGCGGGCTGCCAGGGTCTTGGTGAGTTGCTTCTGCAAGGCCAGTTTAGACTGCAAAGAAAAGAGGGATGGACACAGTCTTTGACCCCAGGAAAATCCCCTCCCCTCCCGTGGCCCCATCCCCTAGACCTTTTGCTGCAGGAAAAACGTGACTTTCAGGATTCCAAACCTAAATCCTCCTCCCTTCCCACCCCCACACATTCATTCCACAGGGCTTTCTCCACCACCTGTCGTCCTGTCCAGGGGGAGGAGACTCTTGGGATGGGCCAAGCGGGGAGGCTAGGGGGAGTGGGGGGTGGACACGGTCTCTAGGAGATGCTCGCCCACCCCTTTCGCTTGCCCCTGAGATGACTTTCCTGGGCCCACCTCCCCGGAAATTTTTCTGGGCAGATCTCAAGACAACCAAAAACCCAACCCTAGTTCCTTCCCTGCCCAGGCCGCCATGAGATGGGGTGGGGAGGCTTCCTTCCTGCCCCACCTCCCGCTGCCCAGCCTGCCCTCCCTTCCGGCCGTCTCTCTCGCCTCCGGACCTGGACCGATACCTTGAGGAGATTCACAGCCAGTGCCGCGTGCTTCTGCAGCTTGCTGTGCTGGCTGGAGGGCTTGGGGGGCTTCCCGGCCAGACGGTCTTTGTGTCTCCTGCTGCTCAGGTGCTAATGGACAGACAGAGAGACTGGGAACAAGATGAGGAACCCAGGGACCCCAAAACTACCCTCTCATGCTCGGCTAGCTCACCCTTCTGCTACCCACAGTTCACACACCTAATCCACCTGGCCCTGGAGCAGCCCTGGGAAGGGGAGGCAAGAATCGGCCTTGGCCTTCCAGGAGCTCACCATCCCCTGAGCGTCACACCTCTTTCTCCACCTGCCCCCTGCTCTGCTCCATCCACCTTCTCCCCGAAGGCTCTCTCCTCCCCGCCCCGCGTGGGGCCCACCCCCTCACCTCTGCTCCACCCCCAATCCCAGCCTCACTTGCCCCACCTGCTTGAGCTGGGTCTCTGAGTTGACCTGGAGCTGACAGAGAGCACAGTGGAACGGGGGGCTGGGCCCCTGCCGGCCCCCCTGGCCCCCTGTGACTCTCTTGGCCTTGTGTCCAGCTCCTCCCCGGGGCACCGTGCGGCCCCGGCCCTTGCGGGGAGTGCCCCTCTGACCTTCCACCATCCACCGGTGCTTGGCTCCTGGCGGAAGGAAAGGAGACAGCTTGTCAGCACCAGAGAGGGGCTGCAGGGCCACGAGACCCCCCTCCAAGCCAGGTCAGCCTAGCTGTCCCTTGAAGCCTCCAGGCTGCTCGACACTGACAGCCCCTCCAGCCACATGAAGTTTCTCTTTCCTTCTGAAATGTCTTCCCATGCGTACTAAGTCACTTCAGTTGTGTCTGACTCTGCAACCCCACGGACTATAGCCTGCCAGGCTTCTCTCTCCGTGGGATTCTCCAGGCAAGAATACTGGAGTGGGTTGCCATGTCCTCCAGGGGATCTCCCCGCATCTCAGGGATCAAACCCATGTCTCTCATGTCTCCTGCATTGGCAGGGGTTTCTTTACCACTAGTGCCACCTGGAAAGCCCCAAAGATCCTCCCAGCTGCGTTCATTTCATGCCTCAAGGAAGCTTCCTTGCAGAGTAAACTTTAGGTTGGCTTCCCTTTGACTCTCATCCCAACCCCCTCCCCCAGGTCTGACCCAAGGAGAGATGGAAGGGGGTGTCTCCCGTCTTCTGTGGGGACCCTTCAGATCTTGCTGCTTCAGGCTTCTCTTCCCGATCCTCCCTCCCCAAGCATTAGCTGGAGGACCCCAAGTGCCTGCCCACTCACAGCTGGGCACAGCACCTCTGTCAGCCAGCCCTCGAGCACAGTGCCCACCCAGAAGCCACAGTCTGCCCACATCTGGTGAGGGGCATCTCCTCCCCGGACTCAAGCTGGCAGGGGGCACTGACCTGTGTTGTGAGCCTGAAGCTGGGAGGCGGAATTCACGGTCACCTTACATGTGGCGCAGTAGAGGCGCCCCTTCTCGCCCCTGCCTTCCCCACTCACACTGCTCCCCATAGCAGCTGCCGCCGGTTCAGGCTCTGGGGCCTCTGGCCCAGGCTCTGGGGAGCAGGGTGGGCAAGACGAAGAGGAGGAAGAGGAGACAGCATCCAAGAGGTCTGAGGGGACCGGCTCCCTGGGCGTGGGTTCTGGACTCCGGGGTGACTGGATTTCGGGATCAGGAGGAGGGGCCTCAGGAGCTGCTGGGGAGATGGAAGGCTTCAGGTAAGAGGGCAAGCTCCAAGATGATTCTCAAGACCATGACTTTTTAAAAAATGTTCATTTTTTCTAACTTTTGGCTGCATGAGGCATGTTGGACCTTAGTTCCCCAATCAGGAATCAAACCTATGCCTCCTACAGTGGAAGCTTGAAGTCTTTAACAGCTAGACTACCAGGGAGGTCCCTCGAGACCATGATTTTAAGCACAGACATTCTGGGGGCAGCATGGCTGAGTGGAGGGCCCCTGGTGTAGGGATGACCAGCACTGAATTCCAGACTCCCCACCAAATCACTGGGCAGACTTGGGCTCAGCTTTTCCACATGATATCATAAAGTTGGGCCCAGTGGTCTCAGAGAGCCCACCCAGTCCTGATAATCTACAGTTATTAGCTAACTGTTAAATAAGTGGAAGTCACCAAAAAGATGTTCTAGAATATTCATAGAGCACTATTCCTAGCAGCAGAAACTGAAAACTCTCCAAATAGTCATCAACAGGAGAATAGTGAAAAGAGTTGCTGGACAATGCAATACTACACGGCAATGAAAAAGGACAAAACACAGCTACACACAACAACATGGAAGAAGCCAGATGCAAAACCTACATACTCTAAATCTTCCTCAATCTATAATGGGGTTACATCCCAATAAACCCATCATAATTTAAAAATGCATTTAATACACCTAACCTACCAAACATAAAAGCTTGGCCCAGCCTACCTTCAATGTGCACAGAACACCTACCTTAGCTTACAGTTGAGCAAAATCATCTAACACAAAGCCTATATTATAATAAAGTGTTGACTACCTCATGTCATTTATGGAATACTGTGCTGAAAGTGAAAAACACATTGCTTGCATGGGCACAGAATGGTTGTGTGTCAGTTGTTTACTCTCCTGGTCATGTGGCTGCTGCTGTCCAACATCACAAAAGAGTATGTACCTCTGTCATACAGAGTGAAGTCGGTCAGAAAGAGAAAAACAAATATATACTAATGCATATGTGTGGAATCTAGGAAAATGTACACATAAACATGTTTGCAGGGCAGGAACAGAAACACAGAGGTAGAGAATGGACACATGCACATAAATGGGAAGTGGAGGGTGGAACAAATTGGGAGATTAGGACTGACAGACACTACCGAGTGTAAGACAGACAGCTAGTGGGAGCCTGCAGTAGAGCAAAAGGAGCTCAGCTCGCTGTTCTGTGGTGACCCAGAGGGGTGGAATGAGGAGCGCATGAGAGGAGGTCCAGGAGGGTGGGGATATATGTACACATAGAGCTGACCCACTTCCTTTTACAGCAGAAACTAATACAACATTGTTATCTGCTTGGGCTCCAAAATCACTGCAGGTGGTGACTGCAGCCATGAAATTAAGACGCTTGCTCCTGGAAGAAAAGCTATGGCCAATCTAGACAGCTTATTAAAAAGCAGAGACTTGACTTTGCTGACAAAAGTCCGTCTAGTCAAAGCTATGGTTTTTCCAGTAGTCATGTATGGATGTGAGAACTGGAACATAAAGAAGACTGAGCGCCAAAGAATTGGTGCTTTTGAACTGTGATGTTTAAGACTCGAGAGTCCCTTGGACTACAAGGAGATCCAACCAGTTAATCTTAAAGGAAATCAGTCCTGAATGTTCACTGGAAGGACTGATGCTAAAGCTGAAGCTCCAATACTCTGGCCACTGATGCGAAGAACTGACCATTGGAAAAGATCTTGATACTGGGAAAGATTGAAGGCAGGAGGATAAGGGGATGACAGAGGATCAGATGGTTGGATGGCATCACCAACTCGATGGACAAGAGTTTGAGCAAGCTCCAGGAGTTGGTGATAGACAGGGAAGCCTGGCGTGCTGCAGTCCATGGGGTTGCAAAGAGTTGGACATGACTGAGCAACTGAACTGAAAACAACACACTAAAGCAATTATACACCAATTAAAAAAAGAGTATGTACCATATATCTCTAGCCCAGAAAAGATCAAAATTTGAAATTGGAAGTTCAATTTCTAACTGAATGCATATCTCTTTCATACCATGTGTGCTGTGTGCTAAGTCGCTTCAGTCATGCCCAACTCTTGGTGACCCCATGGACTGTAGCCCAACAGGCTCCTCTGTCCATGGGATTCTCCAGACAAGAATACTGGAGTGGATGCTGTGCCCTCCCCCAGGGGATCTTCCTGACTCAGGGATCAAACCCATGTCTCCTGCACTGCAGGTGGATTCTTTACCACTGAGCCACCGGGGAAGCCCTGGAAGTCAAAAGATCATAATCCAAATCATCATGAAGTTGGGAACTGTCTGTATGTCATTAACCAAAACCAGGTGAGACTAATCTCTGGTGAGAAAAGTCAGGCTCATGGTTACCCTGGGGGAGGGTTATAGGTGGTTGAATAGCATCACCCCCAAACTTATGTGCATCTGGAATCTCCGAATGTGATCTTATCTGGAAAGCAGAGTCTTTGCTGATGTAATTCGTTAGGATGAGATCAAACTGGACTAGAGTGGGCCCGAGGTCAGTGACTGGTGTCCTTCTAAGAAGATCATGTGAACACACAGACACGAGGGAGAAGGTGATGTGAGGGTGGAGACAGAAGGTCAGAATGTAGCCAAGGATTGCTGGCAACCACGAAGCTAGAAGAGGGGGATGAAACAGACTCTCTCTCTCTGCACCCCGGGAAGGAACCAACCCTGCTGACACCTTGTTCCAAAGGTCTGACCTCCAGAAACTGAGAAAATACAGTTCTGTTACTTTCAGCCACCTAGTTTGTGGTCATTCGTTATCCCAGGCCTAGGAAGCTAACAGAGTAGTGACTGGGAGAGGGCCCAAGGAGTAGGGGGCGGTGCTTCTGGGGTGCTTGTGACATGTTTCTTCACCTCAGCAGATTCAGGCTGGAAAATCTGAGATGCTCTTCCATGAGGTGTGTGCCTCTTTGTGTACAGATGGTATACTCCAACACAAGCGGGAATAATAATAAGCAGAAAGCACTCCACCCCTTGTCAGAAACCAGATTTGAAGTGGGACAGGGGCGGGACAAAAGTTCAGGACTGACCTTTGCTGCGCAGCTCTTCGGGGGCTCCACCGGCTGGAGTCGGGGTGGGGGACGCCAGCGTTTCCTCCTGGGTCAGGGTTTGCGGCCTCTGCTTGCTCTTGGCAGCTTCAACAGCCTTGAGTTTCCTGGCATGTTTGTGGCCTTTGTAATGTGCTTCGGCCTGGTTCTGGGGAGGGGAGAGCCTGGGGTCACCATTCATTTGCTGAGTCTACCTGCCCCATCCATGAGCTGGCACGTAGGGGGCAGGTCGGAGGGAGGCAGGGCTCCGGCCACACAGGGAGCAAATTCTTGCCACTGTCATCGTCATCAGAGCACGTGTGTGGGCCCGAGGGTTACAGGTGCATTCTCGTAAGTGAGCTCCCAGGCAAACCGCCACCGCCCTCCAATTCTGCCTCGGTGCCTTTTTAGCTGTGCATCTTTGGACAAGTCACTTCACCTTTCTGAGCCTCAGTTTCCTGACTTGTAAGCTTTGGGATGATAACACTGATTTCATAGGGTTGCGAGAATGGAAATGAGAACATGCATGACAAGTGAAAGCAAAAGTGTTAGTCGCTCAGTCATGTCCGACTCTTTGTGACCCTATGGACTATACCCTGCCAGGCTCCTCTGTCCATGGAATTCTCCAGGCAAGGATACTGGAGTGGGTTGCCATTCCCTTCTCCAGGGGATCTTCCCAATCCAGGGATGAATGACAAGGGCCTACTACAGAGAATAAGTGCTCAGTGAATATTAGTTAGTAGGTTTATAAATGCATGGGTGGGAAAACAGAGCAGTCCCCACGCTTTAGGGAACATACACTCCAGATCATTCATCCTTCTGTACATGTTTTTTAACAAATAGTTACTGAGAATTTGCTGTTTGCCAGGCACTGTGTTGGGCCCAGCATGAAAAATATATGGTTTCTCTATCAGAATGAGTCTCTCTTCCATCACTTGCATGACTCACGTAACCTGAAAGCCTGGAAGGAACCCCCAAATCTGGCCTGTCCACTAGGAGTTCCTGCTTATTGCTCCCCAAAGTAGGAACGACAAGGCCCTGTGGCCTCTCCTTAGGCTCTTTTACAAGAGCAGGTCTGCCAACAGCATCTCCCAAACTGCAGAAGTTGCCTGGACAGAAGGCAAACGTTCCCTTGGAGGCCAGAACGAGGCTTCCCTACTCTCTCGGGGCAGGCCCTGCTAGGAGGTATGTGGACTATGGGGTCAGCCAGGCCTGGGTTCAAATCCCAGCTCTGCTAATTACCAGCTGTGTGACCTCAGGCAAGTCACTTAACCTCTCTGAAGCTCAGTTTCCTCATCTGAAAAATGAGGCTGAGGATAGGACCTTGAACCATCTCACTGATGTATCCTGAGAACTAATTAAGAGGATGGACACGAACAGATTCTGTAAACTCTCAGGTGTGTTAAGAACTCAGCCCCGAACCAGAACCGATGGTGAACCCTGGGACCCAGAGTAGGGAAGGGCAGCCTGCTCGCATCAGAAGGTTCCAGAACACAGGAGAGAGGCATATGGGAGATATGGGAGGAAAACAGAATCCCAGGGGGATGGGCTGGGAAGGGGCACAGGAATCTGGAGAGAGGAGAAGATGGGATGGATAAAGGGCCAGGAGCAGCTCTTCCTCAACGAAGGGCAGAAAATACAGACAGTCCCTTTGCCACCCCTATTCCTCCACGCAGGAAAGACCTGAAAGCCCAGGGTCCAGCCCGCTCCCTGCCCAGCAACCCCCCAGCCTGTTTCCACAACTCCTTCTCACCGCTGAGTTGAATCTCAGGTGACAGATGTTACAGGAAATGAAGAGCTTCTTCTTCAGGGGAGAGGGGACCCCAAATGTGTGGCTGATGACAGCTTTCTGGACTGGGTCCATCTGTGGAAGGGGTGGGAGGGCATAGTAACTGTGGGGTCAGCTAAGTAAGGAGGGAGGGCAGTGCTAATTGCCCAAAACTAAAGTCTATAGAGGAGGGCAGTGGTCAGCCCACAGGAAGAAATTTCCCATGTCTGTGGATATTAGACACCAAAAAAGAAACAGTCTCTTCCCTGGCTGACTTTCTTAGATGGCCTAGGCTTCTGCTAGGAGGCCGGGGGATGGCCACGTGACTTCTGTGATCTTGAGAAACAGAACCATGGCCTGGTGACCACACTGGCTTCCCTTGCTGCCCCTCTGGTCTCTTTTTTCGCTTATTCATGAGAATCACATCTACGTGTACAGAGAGTTGAGGGCAGGGAGAAGCAGAGAAGGGAATCGGAATTTCCTCTCCCATAACCCAGTCTTGTGCTGGACCTGTGAGCAAGGGGAGATAAAGCTTATTATATCAGCTTTGCCGCTGTCCCAGGGCCTGAGAGAGAGCCACAGCCCAGGGCAGTGGGGGACCAGGCTGGGGACGGCAAGCAGGGTTAGCAGGTGGAAGCCAGAGGGTTCCCTGAATAGTAGGGTCATTTCCATGGAATAGGAATTGGCATTTTTTTTTCTTTTCCTTGTTTTAAATAATTTCTGTTTCTTCTATCAAACCAAGCCTTTATGTTCCCCTTTCTCAAGGGCAGGGTTGTTGTGTCAAAAGCAGAAGTCGTTGGGGGCTTACTTGTCAAGAGGAACTTTCCAAACCTTCCTGAGACAGGAGAACACAGGCTTTGAGAGAAGAGGATGGTTTCAGAAAGTTCCCTGAGACCAGAGAAAGGTTCTAACCCTCACAGCACCCAGGGCTGGGGGCTGAGGTGGGTGGGTGGTAGGGCGGGACAGGATTTCAGGGGAGAACGTCCTGCTGGGCCCCCAGTGATGAGAGCAGCAGACTGACCCCCTCGTAGGGACCATGTGCCTGAACAGTGAGCATGTCAGCAAGCAACAGTGGGGGCTGAGAACCAGAGGACCCCCCCAATTGTCTCAGGCTCCTTAGGATCTTTGTACAACCCTGGAGGGTGGGAAGGAAGGGGCTCCCAAGGGGGATTAGATGGAATTTCCCACCATCTTGTCAGGATGGCCTGGGGCTCATCAATGATTACATTTGATTTTTCAATTCTTTAAAAAAGGGGTCATATAGCTCATATAGTGAAGTAAATTTCAGATTTACATACATGCATGGAAGTACATGGGAATACTAGTACACAGGCTAGTAGTGGACAGACACACAGCACATAAACTTACAGGCAGTTACAAATCACAGAAACAAGCAGAAAGATACACACTCACCTGCACACCAATGGCACACATCCACAAACTTAGAATCACCCAAACCATATTAAAAACATACACGCAGAGGCCAGACACACACCAAACACATACACAGTGGACACAAAAAACTCTCAGATACCCAGGCATATACACTAAATAAAGACAACTATGCAGGCATAAAGAGTTCACAAGCACACATGCACAAACTCACACCTACAAATACACAAAGTCCTATAGAGACAAACTAAAACAGAAAGGCACACAGACATACACAGATCATCGGCAGATGCCCCTTTATGAAAACTCGCTGAAACCTGCAGTCCACAGGCCCTCCGGGCCCAGCAGCAGTTGATACGGGAGAGGACGGTAGCATCCTGGATATTCTGGCCTAAGGAGGAGCTGGGCTCCATTTTGGGGGCACCTGGTCACTCGGGGGGATGTTGCTCCTGGTTGGACCCAGCTTCTGAGAACCGGCCCCTGGGAGCCCACCTTCCCAGCCCACCCCCATGCTGGGCTGCACTCCCCCCACCCACCCGCCCAGCCCGTACCGTGCTGAAGTTGGGGAAGAGACTGAGCGGGGTGGCGCCATTGAAGTGGAAGGTGAGCAAGTGCTTGAAGTCCAGCGGGGGCTGCAGAGGCCTGGCGGGCAGGGCCAGGGAGGCCAGCAGCGGGCTGGGGGCTCCGGAGGCCGGGCCTGCTGCAGGAGGAAGAAGGTCAGGGTCTGAAACGGGGAGTCACAGGGCTCGCTCCTCCCCCCACAGCCAGAACAAGCGGTTGATGGGCTTCTTGGCTGTGGAGCCAGGGCAGAAACTCCTGTCTCCACAAAGCAGCGATGGCTAAACCCAGGGTGATTATAGCCCATTTCTGCACCTCTCCCCTGCACCACTGGGGAAGGGGAAGCAGAGGGTCCACAGTTTCAGGCTCCTAGCCCAGAAGGATGACCACACAACCCCCCACAGGGGCAGCATTATGGCCCCAGTGAACCCCAGAGGGGAGTTGGGGGGGCCCCTGACACACACACCACCATGGAGACTGCATGATGCACTGGGTTTCCACTTTATTGCAAATTAAACCCAAACCCAGGAGACTTGGGGAAAGGCCAGCCCCCTCCCCTCTCACTAACTACTCCCCTCCAGATCCCCCACAGCATTCACAGCAAGGACTGACAGAGGGGATAGGAAACCCCCCAGAATCTGAAGGGATGTGTTCCCCAACTCCGGTGAGGCCCCAACTGCTCTCCCCTGGAGACAAAAAGCCCTCCAACACCCCTGGGTCAGGCCTGAGGCTGGTCCTTGGGGTCAACCAGTTCAGCACTGTGGTTTATACAGTCTTTGGTCTTATAGGTCTGAGGCAAGGGTCTGGGTTCAATCCCTGGTCAGGGAACTAAAATCTCAAATCTCAGCACTGCCAAAAAAAAAAGAGAGAGAGAGATCTGAGGCAAGGGCAGGTGAAGGTGAGGAACTTGGAGGACAGCCAGACTTTGAGGAAGAAAAAAATTAGAAATAAATTCAGTTCATTTGGGACTTTTTTGAACCCTGTCGTTGCAAAACCAAAAGAAATCCTTTTAAATTTTGTGTGTTAACACTAGGGAGGCTAGGATAGATTTATTTCACATTGATAAATATGTATGTCTATGTGTGTGCTAAGTCGCTTCAGTCTAGTTTGACTCTTTACCACCCTATGGACTGAAGACTGCCAGGCTCCTCTGTCCATGGGATTTTCCAGGCAAGAATACTGGAGTGGATGTCTAAGTACACGGCCAAATACAGAAAAGTCTCAGGCAGCCTGTTGGTGGAGAGGGAACCTCTTACTTCCCTTGAGCTTTTTCACAGAAAGGGTGCTCTGCTGTGTGTCAAAAACAAAGACTTTTTTTCCCCCAGTCACATCTGAAGAGAAGACATGTTGTTAGGAGCAAGGCTAACAGTCAAGGACCCAGTCTCCTGGCCTTCAACCCCTCAGCTACGGAGGCTCTGTCTTCCTCCTTCCAACCAAGGCCCCTCAGCTTTTCTAGAGCAAAAACTTGAGTGGAGTTCAGAGGGAAAAGGATGGACTACTCCCCGCAGAACTGGAAAGGTCAGGAGTGGTATTTTGGGTGCCCGAGACCCTAGCACCTCTGCCCACGGGCCCCAGCGCCCACTCACACCCCGGACCCAGCTCCTCTTCCACATCCCACTGAGCTGGGTTAGTACTCAGCGTGGAGCCGAGGAAGCCTGGGGAAGGTGGGTGGCAGGCCACAGTTAGGAGGTAAGCTTGCTAGGTCAAATCTGGCTTGACCCTTAGCAAGCCCAGGGGTCCCGGACTGGCTGGACGGAGGCGAAGAGGCCGCTCTCAGGTGAGCTGCGAGCCCAGGAGGCCCTCGCCCCACCCGCTCTCTAGGAACTCTACCGCCAGCGCAAAGTCAAACTCGTGCAGCGGCGGCCCATCCACCGCGATCTTCACCGCGGGGCCGCCCCGTCCTTCCCCCGCCCCGCCCGGCCCCCACCACCGCAGCTCCCGGCTGCGGCCGACCTTGTCCAGGAGGCCGGCGCCCGCAGGCAGCGCCAAGGCCAGTGCGGCCAGGGCGGCGAAGTCGGGGAAGAGCTCGTGCAGTTCTGAGCGCGCGCACGCCAGCTTGGTGCACAGGGCCCGCGGGCCCAGCCGCCCCAGGCTGCACACCACGCGCTTAAAGAGCGCGAAGTCGCCCAGCGCCCTCTGGCGCACCACAGCGGGGGCGAAGGCGCGCAGCAGGACGCGGAGTGCCCCCTCGCCGTGAGCGCCCAGCTCCTCGGGGGCCTGCGGGTAGCGGCGGGGGTCGAAGATGGCCGCGAAGGCGGCCACGGCGTCCAGCGAGGGCCCGGGGTAAGAGTCCCGCAACCCCCTCCGCATGGAGTCCAGGAAGGCCCCCCGCAGCCTCTCCAAGCCCTGGACCGCAGCCTCAGAGTAGCCCACCAGCTCCACGCCGCGGTAGGTGCAGCGGCCACGGCCCAAATCGGGGCTAGAGGATGCCAGTTCCTGCAGGAAGCTCTGGAGGCGCGCCCCACCTGAACTGCACTGTGCGTGGAGGGAGGCTGTAGCTGCCATCACCAGAGGCTGCAGCAAGGCCAAATCCGGCTCCTCTGGCTGCAGGACAAGGGCCAGCTTCTGCACCGAGGGCAGAACATCCAGCAGGAGGTGGGTGAAGGCCACGAAGGTGAACTGGCGAAGGGCGAGGGCCAGCGCCCTTGTGGTAGGCGAGGCTGGGGCAGAGGCCTCCAGGGTGGGCACCAGGCAAGGCCAAGCCTCAGCCACAGCTTCCACCACTGGCAGAAGGGAGGCCCAGGGCACTGGCCGTGGTCCTGCCAAGTCAATAGCTGCAAGGTCCAGTGCCGCCCTGAGTTCAGGAACCACGTGAGAACTGGGGCCGCCGTGCAGGCGGAATAGGGCGTCCAGTACGCTTTCATATTCACCTAGGTAGGCAGGGGGTTTGGGGTCTGTCCGGCCAGGGAGGCAGTGTAGCTCTGTAAGCAGTGGGCAGGTGGCCCGGAGCTGCGGGCACACGCGCCCCAGGCGGTCACTGGGGAGGCTTGAGCTGAGCCAGGCCAGCTTGGATGCAGACACGCCGAAAGTCTGCAGGATGTCCAGGAGTTGGCCAGCAGTGGCCTCGCCTTCCTGTAGCTCCACACTGCCCAGAAAGGTGGTGGCAGGCTGGCCATCGCAGGGAGACACCGAAGTGACAAACAAGGCCAGACTGTGGGACTCAGACCAGTCCCTGGCCTCGTCCAACACCAGGCCCACATATGGGGATGCCTTCAGGCGCTGACGGGCCTCTGTGTGCAAGACACTGGCGATGGCCACCTGGGACAGCCAGGGAGAGAAAAAGACGGAGGACAGGGTTAGGCTTGTCCTGAGAAGGGGAGGCAGACAGGATGGGGTGATAGAGCACAGGCCTGGGGTTGGACAGTCTTAGGGACTAATCCTAGCTTTGTCACTTACTGGCTGTGTGACCTTGAGCGAATCATTTCACCTCTCTGTTCATCTCTGTTTCCTCGAGGCTAATACTTGCCCCCAATCTCCTTAAAAGGTTGTTGTGACTTACCAATTTTTTTTTTTTTAACCCACGCCACACTGCTTTTGTGATCTAGTTCCCTGACCAGGGATTGAACCCAGGCCCTCAGCAGTGAAAGCTTGGAGTCTTAACCATAGGACCTCCAGAAATTCCCGTCCATGTAATCTTTGTTATTATGTTTATAAATGTAAAAGTGCTTTATGAATCATAAAGATTCTAAAGCGTCTTGTTAGTTTCTCTACAGCATTGCCCCAGTCAACCTTATTCTTGAGGGTCTCCCTCCGCTCAGCTGCTCTGGGATTAACTGATAGGTTGACTGCCCACGGGTTAACCAGGGCCCCAGCTGCGTGCTGTTTGTCTCTCATCTCTTGGTAGGATGAGATCCAACCCGCCCCTCACCCCCACACCAGCCCCCAGGACTCATAAAGCCAGTACCTAGGACAGAGCTACATGAGTATGCATGTCCCCAGTGGCCATGTGGGTGATACTGAGTTTCAGGAGAACCAGGAATAAACCAAAGGTAATGGGGAAGCCCATGCCCTGCTCTCCAACTCCAGAACTTCATGCCCTGACTGCACAGGACCTAGTTTCTCAGCAGAAGTCAGAAGTCCACATTTTTATATGGAATGTCTTTTTTTTTTTAACTTGGAAACTAATTTAAGTCTTTTGAAAACACTGTGAAAACTACCAAAACATGCCTGTGAGCCAATCAAGCCCCCAGGCCACCAGTTTGCAACCTCTGGCCTAGGTAGTGAGCCAAGCAACCCTGAGCCCCCGAGGACAGAGCCTGGTCCAGCCTCTTCACTGTTAGGCGCCCCGCAGCTGGCCCGGGGCCTGGCACCTAGTATGCCCTCAGTGCAGGGAGGATGGGCGAAGGTGTGAATGAGCTGCTTTGGCCTCTTCCCCGGGGGCCTGGCATGCTGGTGCCATGCCCAGATGGCTCAATGTCCTCCCTCCTCAATCCCTCCCCCACACCCCTGGCTGCCACCCACCTGCATGTCCCTCACCCTCCTGGGGCTGTAGTAATCACCGTGCTCCGTGCCCAGCAGCGCCTGGCACAGGTTGAATCTCTGCAGCTCAAGCAGGGCAGAGCAGCGGTCGTCAGGCACTTCCTCCTTGGCCATGCAGTACACTGTGGTCAGCACGGCCACTTTAGCCGGGTCTGCTTCCACCTTGACGCCCCTGGAGCTGGGGGTGGTGGCCAGGCCTGGGCAGGCCCCTCTGCCCTCAGCCTGGCCCTCAAAAGAGGGCTGGCCCCGGTTGGCAGCCAGAGCCTGGCGGTGGGCCCCCGAGGTCACGTGGCGCAGCAGGGCGTGGCGCTGGAAGTTGTCCGTGCCCACGGTGAAGGCATTCTCCGCTTTGCCATGCTTGTTCCGCACCAGGGCCTGGCGGCACTCGAGGCAGTACATCAGCTTCCGCTCGTAGTCAAAGTCCAGCCAGGTGAACTCCTCTTTCCAGTGCTCGTTGAAGTAACGCTTGCACTTCTTGTTGGAGTTGGAAGCCTCTCCAGCTGGTTTCTTCCCTGGGGGCACCATTCCTCCTCGGGGGGCAGGGCACCCCCAACCCCTGCACAAATGCTCTTGCCCCCCAGCCTCCCCCACACACCGAAGCACCTCCCTTGACAGGGGGAGTTGGTAGGGAGGCAGGAGGAGGGCAGCCCGCCAGGCTAAAGG